CTATGTAAGATTTATGCGTCACATACATACCACTGAAAGCTTAAGTCTTAACACATTAATCATGAAGAAAATCCCGAAAGTGGTCATATTCCATTGAAGCCTGTCCATCACATATTTAGATGTAGGTATGTATATACATACCCTATAAGCACCCGTACCCGTATTTCTTGCGTATTTCGTTCGTTGTCGCGTATTTAGTTCGTAAAATATTTTATTGGTAGTTTTCTTAAGTTATACTCACATTAAACGAAAGAAAAATCCCTCAGGTTTTCTGAGCATGTAATATGCATGCAATAGAAATGGATTACATCTCACTAAAACATGCGTATTCTATACCCGTTAAAACGCATGTATTACGTGGGTAGAATTCATCCGTATTCATTCCACTTGTAATACGTAGGTAAACAGCAGATTATTTTTTAGAAAGTTAAAATAATTTTAGAGGGAATATTTATACGAAACAATGGACGATAGCGTGGTCCTTCCATTCAGAACTAACATAATGTTCTCCGTCGTAAAGTTTAAGTCGGACTGCAATTAGTGCAATAAGGGCCCACATGTTGGTTAAGCGCTGATAGGCGCCATTGTTACCGGCCCTCTGGCCCAAGTAATAATGTCACGTCACTAATAAAGAAGCTTGAGAAGCCAGAAAAGTCCTGGCCAAAGTTGGAAGTCACATGTTAGCAAATTGCAGGTAATTTTACTAATTATTTATTGTTTTAAATTTAACTAACCTTATCTAACAATTCTCTAGATACATTTCTGCAAGGACGGCAATTGCAAGAGGCTGCTCGATTTACATGCGACTTGGACACTTCTGATGCAGACGGCGGAGAAGAAAATAGTCCCCCTTTCCAAAGTCTCCTGCATTATCTCTTGTGCCCGACGCACACCATGACCAAGAACAATATGCACAAAACGTATCCCAAATTGTTATTACAGACGACGGTGCCTGTAAGTTGAACTATACTTGATTATAGTTATTGTCTTCTATCAATGACGAGTAAGCGAGTTATTATATTACATTATATTAAGTCCCTGTTTAATATTTCCAGGTCTTGTAGCTGTTCATGGCGAGCAAGTGACCTCTGCAAGCCACTCACAGCAGGTTGACTTGAATTTCGACAATCCAATTGGGACAGGAGGTCATCTGGTGGTCCAACCTGAAGGAAGTGAAGCGAGCATTTACCAGATGTATTAGAAGTTAGCCCAGCCCAGCCCAGCGTAGGGATCCCCCTGAGCCGAGCCGAGCCGAGGCGAACCGAATTTGATATTCAATGGCCATATAACTCACTAGGTATACTAGCGACCTGTCGTCTGGACCTAGCTATCCCACTATGTTTTTTGGAATCCACTGAGGTCCCATACAAAGGATCCAATGTTATTTCCGTGTAAAATTCATATTTGGCGAATTGCCGTGGCGCCAAATTCGCCAAATTTGCGTGTTTTTACTTTTCAAATCGCTATAACTTTTGAGATTCTTGATGGATTTTCAAAATTTTAGTACCAAAATGATCACAAATAGTTAAGTTTTCACACAAGAACAAAAATTAATTTTTTTCAAAATTTTCGAAATTTTCGAAATTTTCCAAAATTTTCCGATCAAGGAATCGGGCGAAAAAAGCTTTAAAATTATTCAAAAATTGAAAATTTTCGTTTCTCAATTATTTCGTAAAATTCCGATTTTTGTGATCATTTTGATCCAAAAATTTTGAAAATCCCGCTTAAACTTAAAAAGTTACACAGGTTTGAAATTGGTCGAAAATCCTGATTTTTAAGTTTGGCGCTACGACAATTCGCCAAATATGAATTTTACACGGAAATACGATTGGATCCTTCATATGGGACCTAAGTAGATTCTAAGAAACATAGTGTGATAGCTAGGTCCAGACGACAGGTCGCGAGTATACCTACTCAGTGCGGTGCCACAAAAGTTAAAGTGGGTGTGGCTCCATATGACCACACCCCCTTCTTATGGGGCAAATTGAGATTATATTTAAATCGATATATTACGGATTCGCCAAACTCAAAAAATAGTTTGATTGCACCCCTCACTCGACCACACCCACTTTTGGGGTAAAATGAGATTATCCTCATATTCGCCTCCGCAAGCAGATACACAGTGAATAAATCAAGTGGGGTTGGCTCCCCACTTGAGCACACCCACTTTTGAGGCAAAATGAGATCAAATTGAAATTTGCAAACAAGCAAGACGTGCTTATACTAAAACAAGTGGGGCGCAAGCTCCTTGAGTACACCCACTAATCAGGCAAAACGAAATTTATATCCGCCCAAGTTGGTTATTCATATCAAATTTGTGGGCAGTTGCTTTAATTTTTCAAGTACGCAATTCTTTAGGCGGGCACGATTTCTCAACGGGAATATCTTCCCCAGAACCCAAGCCTCCCGCTGAAACAAAGCTCATAATCATATCTATTGGGGAACTCTGAGAATTTATGTCCGCCCAACGTGCCGCTTCATATAATATTTGTGGGCATTTGCTTTGATTTTTTAAGTATGCAACTCTTCAGGCGGGCCCGATTTCTCAACGGGAATATCTTCCCCACAACCTAAGCGTCCCGCCGAAAAAAGTTCATGATCGTATCTATTGGGGAACTCTGAGAATTTATGTCCGCTCAACGTGCCTATTCATATAATATTTGTAGGCATTTGCTTTGAATTTTCATTATTATTATTATTATTATTATTATTATTATTATTATTATTATTATATATACAAATATTATAATATTAATAATATATCAGAAGAAGTATATAAATTTAGTTCGTTTTATTAAATCAACGCAAGAAATGCATAGGAATTGTATACAAAATTTGCCGTTTAAAAACACAATTTGTATTTAGTTGTTTTACATACATATGTATGTATTGGGGTTGAATTTGTGAATAAAAGTCACACAGATTGTAGTTCGCAATCTGTCAAAGTTACACTCATTGTTATTTAGTACATTAGTCTACAAATAAATAGTTTCATAGAAAACAAACATAATCTGCATGCATTTTCTTAAAATGATGTGACATATGTAAGTCACGCAAAATCGACAACGGCTTTCACTATAAATGAATGAATGAATGAATGAATTTATTATCAATCCTTGTGAGGCCGCTTACGGGCCCATGAAGGTACAGGAATTTACATACAATATTTGTGTACTAATATAGGGTAAAAAGTATAAATGAATATAAAACCAGTCAAGACAAAGGAAAAAATATTGGTCATAACCTAGAGATACATAATAGATTACATAATTGACTACAATGGAAATATTGCATGTAAAGGAGAGCTGCACCTCTTCGCTAAGTAGACATAAATTAGTTGTGCGATGATGATGAGGGGTGACAGCATTTGTCTGTATATCTATAATGTATGTGTGAGTTAAAGATGATGGAGGAAGAGAGTGGGAAGGTTTTTATGGGGTTTGGAGATTGGAGGCTGCAGGGGGTTGTGATGACGGGAGGGGCGGGCGGCATGGCAAGATGGTCTTCTTACGATTGGGAGGTGGGAGGGGGGGCGGTTGGCGTCAATAATTCTCAACATCTCGACGTGGGCTGCGTTTGGATTTGGGCATTCGACGGGTTTGAATTACCCCAATGGTGACCAAGGCAAGTGTGACCAGGAGGAGGGCGACGAGACATATAGTTTGAGTAATGTTGAATTTTTCAATGCTGTTGTGGACCTCAATTTGGTGCTCTCGTTGTTGGGTGACTTTCACTATAAATTCATTGTTTGCTTCCCTGGACGGAAAACGTGTTCAAGAAATGAGGGATTTTGTTATTATTAGAATTTGAACACAAATTTAGTTTGACAATTTGTTACGCGTATATTAAATTTCACGGTTCAAGAAGAAAGCTTTCTGTTCACGATTTGGTATTATCTAGAAATTAGATTACATAACGGTGATTATGGTAATTTATATAAATAAATACATATGCTTGACGTGATACTTGAACCAATTCAATGAAATTGATTCTTATCTGTAGTGAGTGGTTTATCTCGAGTATGTGATTGTTTATTACCCTACTGGGAAAACCCATGCGTGGCAATGCGATTATGACCAAATTTCCATTATACATACGACGAAAAAGTTGAACGAGCAATAAGATGTTGCTCGTCGTTTCGAGCACCCTGATTTTTTTTAAATAGTCTGTTCATGCAACATGATACGTTGATCTTTAATCCCATGCAAGATACGCATTCGTCGCCGTGAGATTGGGACAAATTTGTGAAATTTGATTCATTAAAATATTTAGCACCGGCATGTGAGCATGCATGAATTTTAAAAATCATCACGTAACCTTTTGATTATATTTGCAACAAAGTCTTCCATTTTTCTTAACTTCTTCATTACGCACGTATTCGTAAAAATTTTTAATTTAGTGAATAGAAAAGATTCGACACTTTAAAAGTTGGAGAAATAAATACGAACTTGATAAAAACTCCAGATTTTTTGTATTTTTTTGTCAGACTCTACGTAAAATTCTCTTCGATTTAACATAAAACTTTGCTTCCTATGAACGTGACGCACAGTTGCGAAGCTTATCTTATCCATATATTTGCAAAACAGTAAGTACGCAAATATAGTGCATATGTATGCAGTTGACTTTGAGCAACATGATTGATGAGGTACAAATTTAAACCAGAGAGGCGATTTATGACTACATAAATTGGCGAAGCGAGCAAAGCATAACTAACTACGTCCAAATTTTTGTCTTTGCAAATGAAATCAACTGTCAATCAAAGAATTAAATTTCGCTTAAATTCACTAAATTTAAATCCTCATGTCAGTTCAGCCTTGATTGATGACTTTTGATCACAGGATTCGTACATAATGTTGAGCTGAATTTGAGCTTTCAAGAATAATATTTACATATCAAGTCACAACATATGATAACAAAATCATCGGAAAATTCAATTAATTATTGTCCTATCGCGGTTGGAATGCGGTCCAGCGAGTAATAAAAAGGCTGGGTTGCTAATAGCAGAGAATCAGTTTAATTACCTGGTGACAACTACACAATTAGAAAGGGTTCCATCTATTTTATTTATTGGTGCAGATTAAAAAAATGGGTAAAATGAGAAATAACCGCTTCCACGTCTTAGTTGTTCTTCTTTGTTTTTCCAACTTTTGCGAATCAACAATTTCAGAATGCGTCGGTGAACCTCAGGTAAAATTTTGAAATATTGTTTTCGAAATTGAGTTTTTTTATAATTATGGTTAGTTAACTTAGAATTGTTCAATTGAATTTATGGAGAAAACCCGTATTACTACCTTATTATAATAAGGTAGTAATACGGGTTTTCTCCATAATTAAATTATAATTTAAGAGTAGATTAAACTTTAAAAAAATAATGCACTTTTTATTTAATAACTTCATCATTTAATTGCATCGAGCATAAGCTTGTTCTCACATTTTGGAGTTGGACATACATATATGTATCATTTTGTAAAATACAAAATTTCAGTAAACTTAAGCAGTTACAATTATTAGTAAAGGTTGCGCCATTAGTAATTTGTTGGTTGTAGTGTTTCATTTTGCTTCTTAATCCTTGTTGGATAAGAAAACCATGGCATACTTACTTTGAAATTTAGGTGGTCGAGTGTCCCCCATCGGAAGAGGGTATCCCTACATATCATCCCTACCCATACGACTGTCGCAAGTTCATCGAATGTACGAATGGTCACGCGATCGTGCAGTGCTGTGCTCCTGGGACGGTGTGGGATCAAGACTTGCTTGTCTGCAATCATGAATTTATTTCACCTTGCGTCATCGTCACCACTCCAGCCACCCCGTAAGTTTGAGTGCTTTTCCATTCGATTGCATCCATAGCTTCGTGGATCAATTTTGCGCTAAAATCCAGAACAAGCTAGAAACACTTGTCCAAGGTAAATTGGTCCTTGTAATTTGTTTGGTACCAAAATCTAAAAATGTGTGCAAACCTTGTACGCTGATTTCGTATGAAGGAATAAATGCTCCAAAATTAATAAATGTTCACATTGGAATCAAATCGTATTATGTTACATTCTGCAGCTAAGAAAATATTGATAGCGTCTATTATTGATATTTTATTTCGTGATGCAGCTCATGCAAATGAGCTGCTTTGAAAATTCATTCCCCAAAATTGAAATTGAAGGAATATTTATTTATCTGATTGTATGAAATCCAGTGGATGTGATCATGTTTTGCTAAACTATAATTCATATTTCAGAGATTCGACATTGATTTCTACACAAGAAACTCAAACCACAACCACAGCGACTACGACTACACCAACTACTACGAGGCCAACTACGACTACACCAACAACTACGAGGCCAACTACGACTAAACCAACTACTACGAGGCCAACTACGACTACACCAACAACTACGAGGCCAACTACGACTACACCAACAACTACGAGGCCAACTACGACTACACCAACAACTACCACTCCAACTACGACGACACCAACAACTACGACCACACCAACAACTACCACTCCAACAACTACCAGACCAACCACAACAACTAGACCCAGCACAACAAACTCACCGCCACAGCAACTGGTTATTCAAAGGCGCGGATTTAACTACGGTGTGGAACAGCGGGACCATTTCTATAGGAACTGGACAGAATATGAAGTCGGATTTGGAAATCGTGACAGGGACTTTTGGTTAGGTATGGTACATACACCTTCACATACACCTGTACAGTTTCCCTACCAACGGATTTTGTAGGCGACATATAAGTGAAAAATCCGTATTACATTAAACACAGTTTTCCAAATAAAGTAAAACAATAGGCACTTAAAATGGTGATTGGCGTAGATTCCACTATATTACGTCGATACCTTAATAACTAAATTTCTAATTGCGTGCGCGGGCATCATTGCATGTCACTGCCCAGATTTTAGATTTTAATCCCTAGAATGCAACCATATTTCTTGTGAAACAGGTGACTCTTTGGCGTATCACTTAGGGAATAAATTCAGCACATTTGATAGAGACAACGATAACACCAATCACAATTGCGCTGAAAGATACATGGGTGCATGGTGGTTTAATAATTGCTTTCTGGTAAAATATACACTTGTATCCTGGTAAAATATACACTTGTATCCTACGTATAGTTGTGAAATGTTATAATATCTTCGTTAATTTTCAGTCTCATTTAAACGGTGAATACAAAAATTCATCAACTACAATTTCGAACGGAGGACTTATTTGGTCCCTCTGGACAGATTGGGGCTACTCCCTGAAGGCATGTGAAATGAAAATAATCCGGAATAATTAAAAAGTGATTGCATAATGATATAAATTGTCATTCTTGATACTGAAGAAATAAAATGGCCTCTGCTTAATTCGAAAATTGTGTAATCCGTTAAAACATGATTTTGTTAATACATTCCGAACTCATTATATACTATGGAATTCGCTGTTTAGGTTTTATAAGGAAATAGATGATTCACCTAATCAGTTGGATTTTAAGATTCAAAACCAGCATACTGTTGTGAAGTGTTGAAGATGATCTGCATCAGCGTTTTGAAATAATAATACAGAACGGGTACGTTTGTAAATGACTTACAAACGAATATCTTCTGGTGTCCAGATTCAATCTTGTGCCCATGTACTTTTCGACAGAATGGATGGTTACCTGTCATACAATTCATTTCATTATTTAATATTTATTATTTATATTTTTTTACATAAATCTGTATGTCCTGCTTAATACGTTCGGACATACATAGATCAAGAAATTTATAACTACATTTACACTTACAAGTATCTATACATGCACGTGTACAGCTTAGTTTGCAGCGAGTCATGCAGGGGCTTCAGTGAGTACATACTTGGACGAATAGAAATAAACTAAAGGACTAAATGGTTTGGTACTCGTGAGATTTAATTTATGTTATCAGTTTGTGGAGTTGGGATTTATTTTATAAATACGCATCAAAACCCTTAAGCTTACATACATACATAAATCAGTCCACTTAAGTAAAATCTCAAAAACACAATCGGCAATCCGTTATGTGATCTGATGTCAATGAAAATATAATTAAACATTTTAATAAATGTTACACAAGGTTGTAGATAAGTGCGTAATGTGGATAATGAATTTACAGGTCTGTCATTGGCAGGACTGGATGTAGTGGCGTGATCAGGCGATTATTTTAGATATGAATGTGCCTGAATCTCAGCTTTTCTTATATTTTCTGCTAATGAGAGTAATCGATTTAGCAACTAGTAGTAATTACTAGTAAATACTACCATTACGATTTCGTCAAACGTCAGCAGATGCATAATCGTCAAAGGATTTATTAGGAGTAGGATTATTTACACCTACTCCACTTTTTCTATTATTCATTAATTCCATTCATGGGATTTCATGTCAAAACACGTGTAAATACTTTATACGTGTTACAAAAATTAATAAATATCACATCAAACTATAAATTTCCTTACATATGTAGACTTCCTCTAAAAAGAAGAGAATTTCAATATTACTTTTCCCCTGGTGGATGCTTCCTTGTTCCATCCAATCTTCTGAAGCAGCTATTCTTCTATTGCGGCCTGTGCATAATAATGCTGATTTATTTTCAATTTAACTTACGAATATTTAACTATTTATTCCTTACCTTCATACTGGTCGAAACTTAAATCTGATTTATAGCATCTGGTCAACAACTTGTCAACGTTTGTTGTCTTTGGAGATATCTTGGGTACCCTCTAAATGGGCGTGATTCTGATGAGTTACTGCAACATAATATGCTCGGTGGTGATGATTTTCATATGTCTGTAATCCCTTGTCAATTATGCATACACTGCAAATAAACTGGTGTCAATTCCGCGCGGTGTAGTCACATATAGACACCACGCGGTGTTAATTGCCCGTATTAACACCGCGTGGTGTCTATATGTGACTACACCGCGCGGAATTGACACCAGTTTATTTGCAGTGTATATATATATATATCGAAGCAAGCAGGAAACGTATGCAACTAGGTTGAAGTGCTTTTCACAGATCCTGATAATTATGTAAGTTCAGACATCAATCAAACTTTTTTTTAGATAACTTATCATTTAATGCTAACCCAAGTAGAAATCCCGAATTCTCACGTGAATTTCACGCGGAATCAATGTGATTTGGCCGCTTTTTCGATGTGAAATTTACGTGAAATTTAGGTGATCACGTTAATTTCACATGATTTCCACTAATCACCAAAATTTCACGTTAATTTCACATCGAAAAAGCGGCCAAATCACATTGATTCCGCGTGAAATTCACGTGAGAATTCGGGATTTCTACTTGGGAAGCTTCGTGTGCTTAAACTGTAAAATTTTGTATCAATTATCCAACAGCGGCCTTGTATGCGATAGTTGTTAACATATCCAGAGAACTGACCTCTGCACCTGATTTACTATTTTTCTTTTATTTCAGCAATTAAACACACAATTAAACATTGCATGTTTTCAAAAATCGCATGTTTTCAAAAATCGTTTTCGCAATGCTAAAATGCTAAAAAATGCTAAAATTCTATAGTTTTACTTCGCCGGATCTCAGATACACTGTTTTCCAGTCCTTGAAGGCGCCTCCTTGCCATACATAATGAAACCCTTAAACTCAAAGGGTTAATGCTCGTACTGACAATTGAAATACATACAAAACTAAATTTATTTTCTCCAACAATCTCTAAATTACAGTGGCTGATCTTCCTTTTTTTGACATATGTAAATAGGTAAGAAAATCCACATACGTATTTATTGTTATTTATAAACAACTTTGATTTTTATAAATTATTTATAACTAGGGCTCGTAATCCTACGGATCGGATCGGATGGATTGGAGCCGATGATGATCGGATCGGATTTCCAGCATATCGGATTGATCCTACTCGGAGTACTGGTCCGATCCGATCCGATCCGGAGAATTCCTTCGGATTTAGGATGGGATCGGATCGGAAAATTTTTTTAACTAAAATGATTAAAACTACCAGAGTAAAGGAATATTACTATATATGTATGTATAAGTTAGAATGCATACAAACCGATAGATTAATTACTCTGCAATCAATTTTTTTCCAACTTCACATATTTTAATGAAGATACATCACATTACTTTTGAAAGACAATTATCGACAGGCTGCATATTTGTGAAGTTAACAAACCCTTGGCACTGGAGATAACACTTTCGTATTGAATGCCGGTTGCATAAATAGGCAAATAATCTGTAGTCGAGCGAATAGAATATTTAATACATGATTTGATTATGATGTGACATGATAATTTAGAATGATTATTTTAATGCATTATGTGAATTTGTATACATTTGACCTGGTATTAATGATGTAATGACATGTGTGGTCGTGGTCGTGGTGTGACATGTATTGCTAGTAATACTAACAATAACTATACGGAAGGCAGTAGCAGTTACAGGTTGAACACCGATATGCACCATAGTAGCAAAAACTACTGCAAGCTTGGGAGGTATGACAACCACAATCAAGACCAGTGTACTCTAGGGCAAAAAGGCATGGCTGCCGTAAACGTGCCGTAAATGCCGCACAAAAAATCATGCCTCTTTGCCGTAAATGCCTTTTTCAAAAAATGATATTCTGGTCCATGAATAGCTTAGATTTATTGATGAACACAAAGAAAAATTGGTTAGCGTTGAATGATGTCTTACTGATAACATGTACAATTTAAGACTTAAATATAAATGTGCATACGTAACTCTTATATTGGTGTTCAATATATGAATATGTATATGTACATGTGTATTTATGTATCAATTTTATACGAAATTGAATAAGTAATACCTATTATGATACCTATCATAATACCTAGTATGTACATATACATAGGTATGTATTTATATTTATTACTCAATCAATGCTTTCTTTATTTTTGCGAAAAAGCCGGAGCCCCTCATCGCTACATTGAATTGGAACATTATAACATATATTTATTACTATTAAATATATTAAATTTCCTAGAATCAACTTGATTTTGAGCATTAGGTACTTAAATTCAAAATAACTTGAATTTTATAATACAAACTATAGTAATAGTTCAAACTTTACAGTATACTGTGAGCTCTGACGAGGGAAACCTTTTTGGTGCCATGAGCTCCCAGCATAACCACTATATAAATTCCACGTATTTTTTAATACTAGTCCGGCGATGTGCAAAAATTTAAGTGTTAAAATGACATTTGGTCACGTGGTGACGACTTTTCTGACGCGCGTAACGGTAACTTTCAATTTAATTTATACAATCATATTATATTTAGGTTTCGATAGCGTATAACGCAGGAACTCGAGAACACAGTCATTATCGGAGGAGAATCCTTGACGTTCCTAATTGTCGTAATAACCCGACCCATAAGGTTTTGGTTGTTGGGTAAGTTGCCAAATATGTGAGAATTTTTTCCAACAGGGGCAAGCCGAGATTATTCAATTTCCTAATATATAATATGTTTAGATATGGAACTGAGAATGGGGTTAAGTATTGGATACTCAAGAATTCCTGGGGATCTACTTGGTGAGAGAAGGGATATTTTAGGATGAGAAGAGGAGTTAACATGTGTGGAATTGCAGATTGGGCAAGTTATCCGTACGCGTAGGGAACTAAAATTATCTTGATGTTTTGTTTCTAATCTTTATTAGCACGTCAATAAATATCAGTTCGCAAAAACTGGTTTCCAATTCAAGACACCGTATTGCTTATTCTCTTAATATGTAACACTAGTATAATAATATATGAATAAGCTAAGGACCGATTGTTACCCGTTATTGGGCCGATTTTATAAGTTTCTCGGTATCATATGCGTCTCTCTGCCCAATTTGGCACCCATTTATCGCACATAACACAAATTCTCCGTACAAACTCCATCTTCGTCCACGATAAATTCTTATTTGTATTTAATGTTGTTATCAGACCTATGAAAATATGATAAAATACGAGAAAATACAATGAGCTTATTTACCTTGTATTTCCTCACAAATATCTATTTTTATTTTTGCATAAATGTCAACAATAATTGATCTCTTTGAATTATCCGGGTTAATGGAAAATCGGGAATATTGTTAACAAAACAAGACCATAAACCGAACCATGGGTTGATGCAGAAGATGGCGTTGTAGGATAAGTTGCGGTGTGTGTGGTTGTGTCCGAATTTTCTGTAGTGGTCTCATCATCACCAGGAATGCAATGCCTATTTTTTAAACCATCCCCCACACATAGAGCATACCTGAGAATTATTTGATAAGTAATAATTAAAATTATCTGTAAAATTAAAACACGGCATTCTAAAAAATTTAGTAATTTTGAAAAAAACTAATTAAACTTAAAAAAACCCACGCTATCAAATGCGGTATCGAGCTTTGTTCCTGCACCCCCGCAAAGTAATGAGCATACGGTTATTTTGCAAAAATTGGGACGTCCTCTGACGAATGCGCTTCGGAAAATAGCGGCACTGGAACCGGGAGTTCATAATTGGGATTGCTTGTATTATCCAAAAGAACGTTGTGCCTGAGCCCGGTGTCCGGATTTGTCCACGCGGGACCTGGACCGTTAACGTAGTTCAGTGTGGAAAAAACAAAGCCATCGTCCGCGGGAATAATGGAGTGACGTAGGATGGAATTGCCCCTCACGTTGTAGCCACAATATCCCATCGTGTGGGAATGATCGGCACTGACGACGATTAATGTATCTAGATCGTCCGTCATTTCGTCCCCTGTTTTGACGGCTTTGTCAAATTCTACAATTTCCCGCAACGCGCGACCTGGTCTATTGGCATGATGCGCGCTATCAATCTTGCCGCCTAGAAATAAAAATTACATGAGGGGAAATCCTGAGAAAAGCTAAAACGCAAAGAAACAACGATACCCAGAAGACAATTTCACAAATTACCCAAAAAAATTGGGCCATTTGTAAGCTGGTAACTTTGATCAATCTGCATCACTCATCTCAAATGTTCCACATTCAATTGTAATATTTAAGAACTAAAATGGTTGGTAATTAATCGATTTTTTCTTCTGATTAAGAATTGGATTACTTTTCTTAACCGGGATATACGATTAAGATTATGGATCAATCCAGGTTCAATTTGATTTTGTAAGGATTAAGGGTTAACAATTTGGAAATAAAAATGCTGATTAATACACATGCCTAGACTTACCATGAACAAAAAGGAAAAACCCATTTGGATTTTTACTCAATATTTTAATCGCAACTTGCACCATTTCCTGCATCGTGGGGTCATTATCTCTCTCCAGCTCGTCACTCCAAGGTAATCCTTGCATAGCAAACGAGCCCAGCAGATCATCAACCTCTGACACATTTAATCCCAAGAGTTCATCTCGTCCCGTAATATATCTCGCCATCCCACTTTGCCCTTCCTTCATGACGAGCCATTCTTCCGCTATATTTCTTCCATCTGTCCTCTTGCCAGGGGAATTTGTTTCTGGGTCGATTTTCTCCACGGGCGTTAATCTATGCCGACCCCCGCCTAGCAGTACGTTTAGCCTCTGTCCAGCTTCCTTTCTCAATAATTGGATCCCCGAATCCGGACAAACTTCAGGATTCTTACCCGATTCTGCAACATCTGCGTCGGTTTCCCAACTTCGTTGTGCAATACCAGCCCAATTCGCGGCGCCAGGGATTGCTGTGACACGACCGGTTGTCACGATCCCGGTTGATTTCCCTTCCCTCTGAAATTGATAAACGTTTTAACGACAAATTCATGCATCAAATTTATTGGTGAACCAACTTGAGCCCATTCGACTATAGATGAGACATGAAAGTTGGTATTATTTTGGCCTCGACAATCACCAAATACGACCCCCGGTGACAACCCGGCTGTGGAAAATCGAGCCTTACTCCCGCATAAGTACGCCGTCGCGGAGCATGAACTGTCTGCTACTTGAGTGTCCAAGCAGTACGTCTAAAATAATGGTGGGGGTACAATGAGACAGTAATAAAGCACGGGGGGAAGTTATGAGTAATTCAAACCTTTGAGAGTCCAGAGTAAGGAAATGTCTCCATGTGGAGGGAGGATTCCTCCCCGAATCTTGCCCCGTCATCTCTCTGTCCCTTAAAAACCCGAGCGGCAGACACTGAAGTTAATCCCATACCATCGCCGATAAAGAAAATCCCATTTTTTGCCACTGCCTCAAGTGGACCTTGCCGCTCTTTTGAGAGGATGGCCTCCTTTGCCAAATTTCGCCAATGTGTCGGACTTTCTAACCATTGGGAAGGAAGTTGACCTTGAATTGCTTGAACGAATCGTAACGCTTCGAAGGAATCGGAATGATCTTGTAAAAATATAAAATTATCGAGATTACAACTAATTATTGTTTAATTCTTATTTTTAATCATTGATTAATACAGCCAATTGAATTTTCAAATGAATGAATTTTAACTTGTGTGCCACCTTGACTACCATAATTATTATTTTAATTAGTATTTTAATTAAAATAGTGATTAAATTATATTGCAATGCAATTATTATTTGGTATAATGTAATCGTATTTTAATTTTGTATTCACCCTCTTTCCCAATCGCGAGGCAGGTTCCGACCCACAAAACGAAAATTATTGAATACTTGAACAGCTGCATTTTTGTCCAGCAATTCCCCCTCTAGTCGAAAATGGAAGACTGGTCGTAATTTGATTCCACCTCGGGTAATAATAATTGATTTATTGCATCATAGCCAACAGCCTTTGCAAAATTCATAACCACCTCGGGTATGCATACACTGTGTCCCGAATGTATCTCCCCACCACCCGTGCCCCCGGTTTTCATCCACTTTTTCTCGGATATTTTTTGTTTATTTTTTTCTTGCACATTTTTTTACACAATGACCTCAAATGTCAGATAATCTCGTGACCACACACGAGTGAGGATACAAATATTATCACAAGGATATCCTGTCGAGTGGAGATACACTTGGGACACAGTGTAGTTACATATGTTCAAGTCGTAGGGTTTTGTAATAGTTTGAGATAAAGAGTTGAATTGGATTTTGATAACCAAATTTGGAGAGAGAGAGAGTGATTGATTAAGTAATTAAATTAACACATTTATAAATGAATACGTAGTTAGACGTCTATTTATTCCAAGTGTCAATCTCGGGATTGGAATGCCCAATTAACAAACTACTTTATTAATACTCTTATCTGTGTTCGTGACATGACAAGCTCATCCATCCTGATAACATGTAGGTGACAAACACACACAAGAAACATTGTAAAACAATCCAGCCTATGCAAATTCCTAAAGTTGATGGAATGATTAGTTTCCATTTTTTTTGAATTTGTAGAATTTTCAATATTGAATAATTACATAATACGACAAGTCGACTAGCATTAACTAAATATGTTTCATTTACATGCATATAGCCAACAACTTTTCGAACAAGTAACATAATTTCGTAGAGCTTAAAGAAGTTGATGTCGCACAGATAAATAATTAATTATGAAAAATTAAAATTCTTTAATTGATAAAGATTAATTTTATTTCTCTCGGATGGATAAGAAAATAAATTGCATTAAATTTCTCTGTGAGCCCCATTAAAATATTTTTAAATATATTCTTTGACATATCCATGAATTCTGTCCTTGAATCACACATTTTAGTTGACATCTCGAAAACGGTCTGCCTTCATTTTAAATACTACGGATTCTTCATCGACATAAAATTATGCCAATTTTAAGGTATGCATGAAAATTCACAAAATTTCATGCTGAATTGCTTTTTGATCTTACTAGGTATACTTTTTCCATGTTAGTTGAAATACGAGTTCTAATTTAACTTTTTGAATATATAATGGTGTCTTATGATGGCAAAGTGCAAAAAATTTTCTGCAAAACCCATTTGCGAATTTTTTATTAGCCTTCAAAGATTTGCGAAATGAGTGGGGAAGTAGTGGAGGTGGGAGCGGTTCATGCCCCCGCGCAACGCCTTTGTCGTTGTCGCTCGATCACTCACTCGATAATAAATGTATACATATAAAAATAATGTTAGCTTACCTTTATAAAATTTAATGGGTGAAGTGACGTCACTCAATTATCAGAATGAAAATGGTTTTCGATGTAAAAATGTTGAAAAGACAAATTCATTTCACTAGTATGTATTAAAGATTCGCTGGCATGGTAAAACTTTTAGAGGACGAAGTTTTCCACAACTTTTAACTTCTGAAGCTTGTTTCCATTCTGATCGACGTAAGTCTTCATCCGGGGGATGGTTTCATAATTTGTAATTTAAGGGAACCTCGTCTGGTTTGAAATAATTTATTGGCCTTCGCACTGTCGTAAACTTTAACAATCTTTTTCACCTGATCAAGAGTGTAATTTCCGTTATTAAAAGTTTCAGTCTGCCATTCCTGGAATGCGATGGTTCTTCGGAATCGGAACTTGCATCATTTGAAAAAAATTCAACATCAGTAAGTTCACTGAAAATGGCAACTTCTAATGAAATTATGGTCTCACACGCACTGGTTTCAAGATGTAATAAATTTTCGATCGAAATCAGTCCTTCACTGGCTAAATTGTCGATTTTATAGCTATTGTCAATTATGGGCAAATGAGAATGGTATTTTCGTTTAGCTAATTCAAGTAATAATTCACAAACTTTAATAATTAAGATTTTATTATTATTGAACGATTTGAGTTTTAAGAAAAGAGAAGCTAACGACCGGGATTTGAATGTGGTTGGTGCGTGGACAGGGGACTGTGGAACGTGATTCTCACTGTGACCTCTGCTTCACTACCCACCCATTTCGCAAATCTTTGAAGGCTAATAAAAAATTCGCAAATCGGTTTTGCAGAAAATTTTTTGCACTTTGCCATCAAAATACATCATGATGTATTCAAAAAGTTAAATTAGAACTCGTAGTTCAACTAACATGGAAAAAGTATACCTAGTAAATAAATATTCTGCATTAAAACCAAAGGCCGTTGTACAGAGAACATGCAGATGGTACAAAAAAGTTATAATTACAAAATTCGCCGTGGCGGCGATGGCGTTTTATCGGGAACGTAAAAACCAGTTATGGAAGTATCAACGTGACTTGATGAAAACGTCGGTTGTTAATTGGCGGCGTCATATCTCTGAGAGGTGGGATATGTAGTAGGGCATAAAATTATCAGGGGTAGGCAAGATACTTTGTCAAGATACAAGATACAAAATGAAGATATTTTGTATGACGAGATAAAAGATACAAGATAAAAGATACTCCTTGTTCATTTACACAAGATAAAAGATACAAGATACTTTACCCAAGATGAAGTAGTTAAGATACAACATACAAGATATGTATCTTAAGATACTTTCAATATTTGACAAAATACTCAGTTTTTCTCCATGTGGGGTGGAACAATCGAACCCAACAGATAAACTTAATGCAATTAGTATGCAAAATTCAAAATATTTAGGAATCACAGTTAAAACTTTTCAAATTGTTTGCTATAAATTTTAAACAATTTGAGAAAGTTCCGACTATATTTACATATGTGTACTTGATTGCATGATGTTTTTTTGACACATCTTGCTTAAGAAAATAGACCTGGGTAGTGTTGTAATATATTTTTGCATAAATTAGCAAGTATTTGTATGCATGTACCTATGTACATACATATATGCACATATATAATGCTTGCAATTTGCAAAATAATAGCATGTAATATTTTCATGTATGCACATAAATGTATATCAATTAAATAGATAATATTACTTTAAGTTGGCGCGTTGGTTGGTAACCCATTCTTATAAAATTTGTAATGTATAATAATTCTACCCAAGAATTAGGTTATATCACCCAAATGACAATTTAAGATGTGATTTAAAATTAATTATGTAAGTGTTCGAGTATAAAATTTCTGAAGGACTAGTCTCATCAAGACCCTCCAGCTGGCCCCTCATTTTTATTCTTTAATTCTGAAGGGTATAATGGGGCAATAATAAATCAGTATGGTAAAGTCGAAAAAAATTACCCCCGACCACTTTTGTAGGCCAAAAACCGAATACTTGGCTAAACGGTGATTTTTGCAAAATTTTGTCGTTCAGCTCCAACTTTAAATCTAAGCAAATTTCGAGAGACAATCCAATTCAAAAAATGCAGGTACATGTATTGTCTAATTGGAAAATATAACCTGAACTCATGAAAGTGCAACATGACAAAAATTTGCACTTGGGAATCTCAATTTTCCCCAAAAAATCAAAAAGATTGGTGATTTCAATAGTTTAACTCACCTATATAGCAGATATCGACCTGCTACCTAACTCCATTCTATACCTATGACATTGGGACATAACATATCAAAAGATAAGGGGTGGGGCCTATCACTGTTTCTTTGCTATAAATCGGTGGAATATATTAGTTCCTGGGGAAAATGAGGGTTTTGTGCCTATATGTCTTCCAACGATGCAGAAATCCATGCCCAGTTAATGCAGGATTGTAGCCACAGTCCACCTGGAAGGAATGGAGAACAAAACCGGGGTGGGGTATGTCACCCATTTTTTGCTAAAAATCGCCAAAGATGCCAAAACAGGCAAATTTTTGGGGAAAATACGGATTTTGATTTTCTACGTGCTCAGAGGGTTTTCCAATCCATGTCACAATGTCTCAGGATTGTAGCCACATTCCACCAGGAGGGAATGGAGAAAAAAACCCGGGTGGGGTGTGTCACCCATTTTTTGCTAAAAATCGCCAAAGTTGCCACAATACGAGGATTTTTGGGAAAAATACGTGTTATGATTTTCTACAGCAATAAAAAACATTTCAGGTTAGCAATATATAGATAATAAAATCTCACGGTTTTCAGAAAATCATTGAAAATCCAGTAATAAATCCATGCGTGTTAGAAGTTTGGTTAAAGTACATTTGTACTTAGATCTGTTTATACATACATACATGCATTCATTGTATACAGGGTGTTTTTTAGGTCGCGTTACAATGGAAATTTTTCTATAGGAAATTTAGTATATTTCCGTTAGTTACCAAAGTTTTGCCCCTGAAAAGATACATTCATTCGTATTCAACATCAAAATGGAAGACATAAGACAAAAATTTTCCTTGTCAATTGAAACAGTTTTTTGTCAGTAATTTTGCATTATTTTATAGTCAAGAAGTTAATTGTGGTATTTTAAGACCTGTTTCAATTTGGGGCCATTCGTTATCATTTATCTTTTTAATGCTAATGTTGAATGTAAAGTGTGAATAATCTGTAAAGCCTAATAAAATAAATCCTCGTAACTAATAGTAATACACTAAATTTTCCTATAGAAAAATTTCCGTTTTAGCGCGACTTAAAAAACACCATGTATATATGTATGTACCTTCGCAAATAAATGCTTATATGCACACGTACTTATTTGTGTACCTCGTTGTACACCACCAAATCACATACATTCTTGCAACATTCGTGTATGCCAACGTAGGCTGGAAATCTGCGTATGGCCTTCCCGACATGGAGATACGTGGAATCAGAGGATTCATACATTCCTATCTCCCAGCATGTCAACTTTTCCAGCGAGATGAAGAACTGCACGGAGAATATTATTCTCACACGCATTTTCATCTTGCTCATCTTCGGACGTGTTTCTTGGTGAGTTTGGTGGGTGGGACTGGAGATATATCCAGCACCCTTTT